ACAGTGAACTGGCCCCCTGTTTAAAAAGTGTGAGGACCCCTGCTCTAGCCACTCCACAGAAGAAAGACCGCTTTCTGCTCCTGTAAAGAGTTTCAGTCTCGGAAACCCACAAGGGCAGTGGGTTCGGTTTTGGTTTTATGTGCATCAAAAGACTTCACCAAGAGAGTAAAAGAATACCCACAGGCAAGGGAAAACTTTTTGACAGTGGCCTGTCAGGCAAGAAGCTAATCTTTAAGATCTATAGAACACTTCTATACCTTAATAAAGAAAAAGAGAAATAACTCAATTTTTAAAATAGGGCAGAGGAGATAATGAACAGACTGTTCATTAAGGAAGACATTCATGTGGCCAACAAACAAGAAGTGCTCACTGGTCTGTGTGGCTGCCCCAATCCCAACTATGTGGACAAGCCCCCCACTTCCCCCAGAAGAATGCACTTCAGAGGACAGCACTGAAGCTACAGCTTGGGGAGGGGCACGTCTGGTTAGAGCACACAGGAGAAACAAAGAGGGATGGAGAGGGAGGGGAACACATCCTGGCCCACCAAGCCCTGAGGACGATATTCCTGCTCAGAGGAGACAATGCACAGAGGACCATAGGGCCGGCCCCACCACAAAACACAACGTCCCTCATTGAACAATAGTGCGGGAATTGTGCCCGATCTATCCTGTCACACTAGGGTGGAACACTAAGGGCATCTAACAGAGCAGCAAGGGGAACAAAGTGATGAAATCCCCGGAAATACCAAAAATAGACTTTGGAGACAGAATGTAGCACCCCATCAGACTCAACTGGAAAACACTCGTAAAGGCCAACAAACACACCTTGAACTGTTTATAGGCTTTTCCATTTTTGTCAGTGGCTTTCTTTTTGTTGTTAACGTTTTGTTGGTTTTGACTTCCTTTGTTGTTTTGTTTGGCTTTGCCTGGTTTTTGCACTTACTAATGTATCTGCATGTCTATCTAGATAAGATAGGTGGGATAAACAAGTAGGAGACGGTAAGAATGGGATTGATGGTTACAGGGGGATCCAGGAGAAGGGGAGGTGAGAGAAAGGAAGGTGGGGGGAAACCATCCCAGGGACAAGGGAACAACAA